ACCGCAGCCTGCTAAAACCCATTCGGTGGTTTGCGTGCTATGGTAGCAGACCCGCCAAAATCTCTGCCCTGCAATGGCAAATAGAACATCGTTGCCTGGCAATGCCTGCCAACTAACGACTGGCTAATAGAGCATACACGCTTGGAACAACAAGGAAGGGCATTACCTTGGTGCCATAAATGCCTCCAGTGCTACCCTGGGAGGAAGCGCGCGGAGACAATAAAACACATTTTTCTCCAATGTCCTGCGACGGTACTACTATGGAGAAGTTGGCACAGGATTTGGCGACACATTGTTCCCGATAGTGTATGGCCTTGGGATTGGAGGGCCATACTCCTGGGACACTACCCCCAAATCCGGGGAAACACATTCGAGGAAAATATGTTCCACCTAGGCAGACGCGCTGTCCTATGGGCTATCTGGTGGAGAAGATGTATCTTCGAGATAGAAGGGGCGCGGGTGGATGAAGGAGAAGTTACGGAGCAAATACGAATGTTAGTTCAACACGAAATTATAGCCCAGAGGAAGGCGGCCAACGATAAACTTGACCAAATGCATACCTGGGGTGATATCAACCGAACTATCTCCCGTTTCAGCAGGGACTGGTTGGGAGGGGAAAGGGAGGGATGGGTGGCAGAGGTCAGGTGGGCCGGAGATCGTCAGTCTGAAAGAGAGCCACAAGAAGAACCCCGGACAGAGACGGTAAGAGATTATCAGCTGATTTTTCGCAAGTGGACCAAGATAGACCCTGACGACCCGCTACGCCCCGCTCAGGATTTTGCAGACCCTTTCCCCCCCCACCCATTGTCCTTGGAGGACGTCCTACCCCCCCCTTGACCACGGCCCTGTCACTTTTCGTCATCTTCTGGCAAGCGACAGGACACAGCATGACACAGCATACGGTAGCTCAGTCCATTTCAACATTATTCCAGCTTTCTTCTGTTTACCCTGTTCATCTTTGTTCATCTTAGTTCATCTTAGTTCATCTTAGTTCAATTCAGCTTTTTTTCTGCTCATTTCTCAGGTCCTTTTCAGCTCATTTCATTTCAGGGCAAGCTCATGGCAGTTTATAGCTAAGACACCATAAGGAGAGTAGACAGTGGGGCAATGGGCTACGTAAAGGAGTGAGACTCCACCGGTGCCCCCCGGTGCCACCCTCCCCTATACTCGCCCGTGCCACAGGACAGGAGGGGAGGCAAAGTCCGGCTATGGGATGCTGGACAGCACCATGGTGGCCTGGTCAGGTAAATAGAGATACCCTGGAAAAAGCTCACAGATGTCTATAGGCCTCCTCAGTCAATCCCCTGGGTTGCAGGGTAATCAATGCTGGCAGGCCCCACAGTCACCGTCCTCACCTTTGCTCAGACATTCTTTTTTTGTATATGGGACGCTGGACCCGTTTCCAGCAGGTGACGCTCCCCACCAATAGACGGAGCCTCTCCCAGGTGTTAGTGGTGTCTGCTCTTATCAGCAGCACTAACACTGGCGGGGGTG